AAAAGGGAAAAATGATATTTTCTACACAAATTTAGCAAAATATAATCTTTTTCTAAACTAATTTTTAATTTGATAAAAAATTACACCAAATTAATTAATAAATTTTCTAAATTAATACACGAATTATCCATTTAACTGTGATTAACTACATAATCCGAAACGGTGTTAAGTGGTCGTTAATGGAGCAGCTGATGTGGCATACCACGTGAAATTTTTTTGCCACGTCAGCACGACACGTCAGATTAAAAAAACGAAAAAAAATATATTCATATCTACGTATAAATACAAATACAAATATATATACTTCTATGTATAAACATATCTATATATATACAAAATAAAAATATACATATATATACATACATCTACACAAATATATATATACATATATATACGTATAAATATATTTATATACACACACATATACATATATAAATACATATACATATATATATATATATGCATATGTATAAACATTAAATATATATGCATATATATACACATTAAATAAATGTGTATATTTATGTATAATACATATATACATATGTACATATGCATATATATATATGTACATATGCATATATATATATGTACATATGCATATATGTGTATATATATATGTATGTATGTATATGTATTTATATTTGTATAGATGTATGTATATATATGTGTAACGACCCGAGGCCGCTACGGAATGATAGAACTGTCCCCACACACCAACACGGGACCTTTTAGCGTGCTTTGTCCTCACTCGCACACATCCCGGAAAATACTTCCCAGGAGGTCACCCATCCTAAGACTACTCCAGAGCCAGCACGCTTAACTTTGGAGTTCTCTCGAGATGGCTAACCGAAAAGGTAGATGCATCTTGTTGCTATGAGTAGCTCAATTAATTCCTTTAAGTTACCTTAGACTGTATAGTCCCATACCTACACAGCCCTCGGATCTCTCTCATTCCGGTGCGTCCGCTTCATCCCTGTACCCCCTACCGAGAAGCTCGTCAGGAGCCGCCCCTTGTCCATGCCTCTCGCACCGGCGATCACTCCCCGCCCTCCTGCGGTACCCTGGGCTGTCACAGGCCCACCAGCTTCCGCCTGGTTCATCCACGAACCACACCGTACTGGGAGAGAACCGGCTCTGATACCATTTGGAACGACCCGAGGCCGCTACGGAATGATAGAACTGTCCCCACACACCAACACGGGACCTTTTAGCGTGCTTTGTCCTCACTCGCACACATCCCGGAAAGTACTTCCCAGGAGGTCACCCATCCTAAGACTACTCCAGAGCCAGCACGCTTAACTTTGGAGTTCTCTCGAGATGGCTAACCGAAAAGGTAGATGCATCTTGTTGCTATGAGTAGCTCAATTAATTCCTTTAAGTTACCTTAGACTGTATAGTCCCATACCTACACAGCCCTCGGATCTCTCTCATTCCGGTGCGTCCGCTTCATCCCTGTACCCCCTACCGAGAAGCTCGTCAGGAGCCACCCCTTGTCCATGCCTCTCGCACCGGCGATCACTCCCCGCCCTCCTGCGGTACCCTGGGCTGTCACAATATATGTATATTTTTTATTTTGTATGTATATATAGATATATTTATACATAAGAGTATATACGTTTATATTTATATTTGTATATAGATATGAATATATATATGTAATTAAAAATTAATGTAGAAAAAAGTCGCATTTTGCTAGAAAAATGTTATTTTACCTTAGAAAAAAATATGCATACTATCAATAAAAATAAATTTCTGTGATATGTAATCAATCGGCGCATTGAATTTATAAATTTTTTATCAAATGATTAGTTAGATATATAAAATATGAACATAATGAATGAGTGTGATCATTATAAATTTAATGTTATGACCAAAATGATCAAGATTAAATTTCTGGTCGCATGGGTCATAGGGTCACATATGGAGAATGGTATGCCTTGAAGTCAAAATAGCAAAGTAAAAGTATTTTTGATAATGCCCGATTGATTACATATCACCAAACATGCCTAATCAATCAGTTTCCATGAGTGTTTAAATCAGTTTTTAATTTGACAAAAACCTACGTCAATGTAAAAATAGCAAACGAAGGATATTTTTGATATAATGTCTAATCAATCAATTTATCGCGTGTGTGGCATGTTAAAGAATTAAATGAAACTGCGCCCATGTACTGTTACCCTATAAATAATAAAACACTCAATTCCAAGATTTTTGTGTATATAAATGTAAATTAATTTATATAAAGTTTTTGGTATTATTAGTTAAACCGCGTGTTGATCTCCCAAGGGGCTGAATCTGAACGCGACAATAAGGTTGACCCCATGACTCGGTCACTCGGTTTTGTCTCCATCGTCGTTGTGTTTTATTCGAACTTGCTTAGAATCCTCAGTTTGTTTAGAACACGTGCTTAAATAATTTGCTTCTTGTTTTTTTGGTTGAATGTGATTAATAATTTGCTTCTTTTGTTATTAAGCCCATAAAAAAATGAAAAATCGACATAGTAAAAGACAAGAAATAAATTATTCGCATTACGCCAGAAAAAGAAAGAAAAAAAAAACAGATACGAAGATTCAGCCCGACCAACAGATTTTGTGGTTTCCATTTTCCACACGTGGGATAATGCACGGAACGAAACCGCCATTACAATGCATGTGGAAGACATAATTGCGAAAAAGAAAATCTCGATTCATTTTTTGGATAGCCTAAAAAATGAAAGATATATATGCTGTCAACAAATATATATATACGAATAATCAATATTGCTGTCATTGAGGAGAAACAGATAGATAGACGATAGATACACATTGTTATGCAGTCTTAGATGTTATTTATTTAATTTATTTATTTTCGGATCTCACATTGTTGATAAGATATGATGTAGTCATCCTTTGGTTGTTTTTGTTTATGAGTAAATTCACTTGTGTTTTCTCGTGGAACAAAAATGTATTTGATACAGTCAAAAAATCAAAACAAAATAGACAAAAACAATTATTTGGAACAAGTGTGTAATATATTTAATCTAATAAAATTTAAGTGAAATATGTGATCTAATAAAATTTAAGTGTTGGGAAATAATATATATATATATTGTGTTGCTTTGGGTCAACTCGATCTAATTTATAGTTTAAAACTATTATACTAAGAACTTGAATCAATATCTCATATCGATGAAGGTTATAGATGGAAATGTCTAACAAGTGTTAAAGAAGTTTTATGACGTATCAACTTAATTATTTAACTTTTTGTATTTCTAAACATTACCACACTTAAATCAACAAAACATAATTTTAGAATATACCCTACAATCTATTGCTACGAATTACAAATGTGTAATGGTTTGCTAATGTATATAATATATCCTTCCATGCCTATGAGAGGAAAAAGATGGTAATGGTGGTGGTGCTAATGGTTGTCAATAATGATTGATCGCTTAACATAACTTTCTATCTGAACACGTGCTTAAATGATAATATTAATTGGGAATTTAAAATATTCACACTGCAAAATTGGTGGGTTTTATTTTGTCACGAAATGTGCATGCGAAATCATAATTCAAAATAAATATAATTTAGTATATTTTTCAAAACCTCACAAAATAGAGTTTCAAACTTAAGGGTTCATGTTCACGTTTCATTAAAAAGAAAATCATATAAAAATTGAAACTTGGTGGTGTTTGACACTTGATATATGTGGAGATGTCGACAAACCAATTTTAATACCATATTAAATACTGTAATGATAAATTATAAGACATTTGTTGTAGTTGTGATCGATAATATGATGAATTTAAATAGAAAATATAGTTTTTTTTAATCAAAATTCTTAATTTAATAAAGAATCAAAATAATAATAGAATAAAAATCTAGATTACATAAAATACATAATGATATATAAACCAAATAAAAAAATAGAATAAGATGTATTTTCTATGTAGTTTTTTTTATCACGTAGAAATAGAAAATAATTGATATCCAATTCAATATTTTCGTGTATATAAAATATGCAAATGTATATTTTATAAAGTATTATTTATAAAGAAACGTGTTTATATCATAATATCATACACAACGTGAAAAAAAAAAACGACAGGGTGGGGTTTCACTCCGTGACTGGGTAACTGACTCGTTCTGTCTCCATCGTTGTTGCTTAAAATCCTGGGTTTGGTACGAACACGTGCTTAAAGTGATTTGCTTCTATTATTCGGTCAATAAAAAAAATTAAGATCGAGCCCACCAGATACAGAAAAAAAACTAAGATTCGTTGTATTTTCGTCACGTGATTATTATTTACTTCACATGGTCTTGGGCGTTGCATGCACTATAAATCACTGAACAGTGAACACGATACAATCTATATAACAAAACATTTTAAAACAACGTGAAGTCCCATGAAGATAATACATAATCCAAATATATAAACACGCAAAAACAAAAAAAACAGTTCGGTCTAAATACAGTTAATGCAAATAAAATTAAAAGGTGAAAACCCAACAGTTTGTGACCCAGTAAGATAGACAAAATCATTCTCAAGATATTGATTTCGATTTCAGTGGTAGGAAATGATGTAATTTCTGGACAAAAAGTGATCCATATACAAAGGTTGATCGCAGGTCTAGGGTGAATTTAGTTAGACCGAAGACCCGGGAACCACCGTCTGGTTATAAAAATAAAATAAAATAAAAGGTGAAACTATACAGCTGTATAGAAATCAATTCACAATCTCACACTGTATTAAGAATCTTATATATATATATATATATATATATATATATATGCGCGCGCGGTGTAGAATATTCGTATCTGTAATCCCATGAAAGTCGGTCCAAGCAGAATATGAAGACATCACAAACAGTCTGCATCTACATATATGTATGTATGTACATACATATATATATATATATATATATATATATGTGTTTCAATGAACTTTGAAGCATCTACACACACACATATATATATGTATGTATATACATACATACATATATATATATGGTTCAATGAACTTTGAAGCATCTACACATATATATATGAATTCAAAGCTCCGAGAACAGATCTCTCGCAAAAGCCACTACAAGTTCCTCTTCAAAAACCAGACCAAACATCTGTGTTCCAGGCTCCAACAACAGAGGGACAGGACCAAAGACTTTGCCACAACAACAACATAAGACACAACATGTGTATGTATGGATGATGAACCCTCCTAGTTCCCCTCCCTGAATCTTTAACCTATTTTTCCAGTCTTTGGATTACAACAACGGTAGCATGATTTCGATTTCGCTATGTACAAAAAGAGCGGTGGGGACAACGAGTTTTTTTACCTACACGCTCTGTCTGCACATCGGGCAAGACCCGTGTCTGATGAGCCATTTGTCGACGCATACCAAGTGGAAGGTGTGATGGCATCTCGGTAAACTTCTCGTTATTTCCCCGGCTTCAATTTCCTGTAGGAGGAGCATCCGATTCAGCTTTGATCAGACTAAAGGGGTAACAGAGATATATAATCGGTTCAAATAAGTGAATGAAAGGACACAAACACAAGACAAAAGACCTGAAGACAAATGGTGCAGACAATGCTCTGTCTTTCGGTGATTTCAGCTGACATGATATAGCATGGTAATTTACTTAACGTCTCACCCGTCAACCCTCTAGATCCCGTTTCTTCATACACATCGTCCCAATCTTCGAAACTTACATCAGCTATCCGTAGCTGCAGGAAGCAGACAGAGCTATTCATGAACGGAAAGCGGATTTACTGAAACAATCTTTGAACCCACAGTCCTAACACGCCCTTATATATGATCCAATCGTGGGATTTCATAAAGAATTTTTCTCGATATAAACATGGGGAAGGAAGGGCAACGAGCGAAAGAGACGATAGAACAGAACCTGCCAGTGGGAGGAATGCAACACAGTCGACATAAGCTGTTCATTTACAAGTCTACCATGAAGAAGTTGCTCCACAAAATCTGCCTGGACCCAGAAGTACATTAGCCCATGTAAAAGTTAAATGTGAGACAACCCCAAGAAAAATACAAGAGAGCAAACAAATTAAAAAACGAAAAACATTCCAAGACCAACAATTTCCTATTGAATTTAAGCAAATGCTAAACAAAAGATTACATAAAATACAATAATGTGAAAGATCTATTGCCACATCTGAATCATATCCAGATTCCAGAGATCCAAAGGCCGATCAGAGAGTTATAAATCAAGATCAGAACATGTTTGTTGAACACCACGGTAAGATCTAAGCTTTAAGGGCAGAGCTGGAAGTCATTCGCCTACCCACATTCAAGCCTAGAGCCATTTCCTAGTGGCATGGACAATATAATGACTGAGCTAATGGGCTTGAAACTCTAAAAACCTTATCATTCCTACTAAGTAGAATAAAGTGATTATTGTTTAGCTATGTGGTTACTCATGGTTAACCATGGCTGGTTCGGCTCTTCGCTATATACAAGGGACGAGGGGAATTCCGGGTTTAATGTGGGCTTTATGAGGGGGGGTGGGGTGGGGTGGGAGGAGCTCCATTAGTCAAATCCTCAATGTTTTCTCGTTATAATCAGTAATACATACCTATTTTCCGGGTTTTCCAAACTTTGCTCATATCCGATAAATCTTTCCAACTGCTTGTCTGGATTAACTCATCCGTTAACATGTTCTTTCAACAAGTTTATAGGACCGATGCATTATACAAGTTCAATGATTCCCTCATGATGATTCAAAAGAAAAAAAACATGTATCTAACCAGAAATAGATTGAACAGAACAGACCTCAAGGCTTAAAGTGTTAAGTGAAAACAAAGACCAATTCTGATAAACACAAAAGGCATTTACTGGAAAAGTATCTACCGGCATATCCCAGACCCAAAAGAACGAATAGTGCTGAGTTGAGGAAACTAACCATAGACGATGGACCTCGAGAACCAGATAGCTCTAAACACCAATAAGCACGAGAAGCCTCCAACACTTCGACAGAAAGTATAGCTCCGGCAACAGCGCCCAGTGCAGCTCCACGAACAACTCCGTACTGGGAAGCCCTACCTGCTACTGCGCCAGTTACAGCTCCAGTGAAAGCTCCAGCTACAAGACACTCAAGAACATGAAAAATATTCAGTAAACATAAACAAAAACAAAAAAAAACGATATAAGTCAGATTCCAAATAACAAATGGGGATCATTCAGAGTCGATGCCTGGTTTGTTCATCAAATAATCTACCAGATCATGCTAGAATGTCAGACATAGATCACAAGGAAATTTACAACTGCTTTCCACAAAAGGGCCGGGGATTCAACGGTCTATTATCATGTGAAGACAGAAAACAAACACTCTCCAAAAATGGTAATTCACAAGAACTCTGAAGCTACCACCATTTCAGGTACATATGACTGTCACATCATCTCATGGAGGACCATTAGACTGCTTTTCCTGAATTGATCAGTGATTTGGAGACAGAACCCAATCAGGATTATGTCCCTAATACAAACTATTGCAACATCACATATGCAACTGCGTCTTCCTTTGTTCTGTCCATCCATAACAAGTAAAACCCCAAAATGGAAAGTAAGGCAATCACAGAATCTGGAGAACCCGGGAAACTGTTTTTAAACAGCATGAAACAACAAAATCATGCAAACCCAGGAAGCAGAAAGCACAAAGTTGAAATATTTCTCCCAAAAAAATAATTCTCCTCGCAGGTGATGAATCTATAGATGATATACAAACAAAGACGACGAGATAATTCTCCAATCACAGAATCGAAAAAAACCCAAGAATCAGAAATCCCCAAACAACGACAAAAAAAAGGGCTTCCTGTAACTACAAAATCAACGGAAACTCTGTGATCACCAAAACGATTCAACTAGACCCATCGCATACATATATACACAAACAAAGACGACGACAACGATCGGCTAATCACCGAGAGCAAAAAATCCGGTGAGGGTTCCTGAGACAGCTCCGGCGATAAACCGGGAAACAGTGTCGATCGTTGTGTCGGTGGTTTCTTCGAATTCTACGGCTTCCATCTCGGAGGAGAAGATCGCGTCTATAAAGAGAACAAAAAAAATAAAAGGAGGAGAAAACCCCCCTAGGGTTATAGGTGATGAAGTCCAGAAGAGGAACAAAACAAAAAAGGGACTAGGTGTGGTTGGTGGAGGGAATTATGGAGGGAAGTTTTCAGCCATTGATGGTTGAGAGAGAAGGTTTCGCGTAGACACCTCCCGACACCAGAGGGAGTTTTTTTATTTTTTTATTTTATTTTTCTGTTTTCGCTGATATTTTCTTTGTGATCTTTAAAAACATTTTTTTTTTCTTCATATTTTTAAAAATCTCTTAGAGAAAAATAACTCTCCCTCGTCCTTCTCCGAATGCCATCCAACACCAGAATCCGAATACGGGATTCTCGTCATGAACAGAATTCTGATCCAAAATCTCACAGAAAGGGAAACTGTTTCGAATCATGACCCTGTAGAACAATCATAACTCTTCGTACTTAGAGCTAAACACTTCAAAATCTCACAAATCTCACCCATCTTTGGATGATCATCATCTCCCGAAACAAACTCATTCATGATTGTTCCAAACTCTATCCAACTTTTTCCAGGCACTCTTCTTTTCGTCACCCGATCTCTCGCCTCGGTTTTCTTCTCCCACATCCCTTTAGATGCATAGATATTCGACAACGCAATGCAATCCCCCACGTGATCATGATCTAATTCTACCAGTTTTCTTTGAACTTCTTCTCCGAGCTCAATGTTCCCGTAAACACTGCAAGCACCGAGCAATGTCCTCCAGATCACCGCGTTTGGCTTCGTGGGTATGTTCATGATGAATTCATAAGCATCCTTCAAGAGACCTGCGCGACAGAACGTATCGACCATGCATCCGAAATGGGCATCTCTAGGTTTCAGATTATACTCCTCAACCATGCTTCTGAAATGCTGTTTTCCTTCTTCCACAAGACCGGCATGGCTACAAGCCATCAATACACCGATGAAAGTGACATCGTTAGGAAGAATCGTCGAATTCTTGCAAATTTTCGGCATTCTTTGATCTGCGGCCTTCATTTTGCTGAAAAGTTCGAGGGCTTCTTCCGCTTGCCCGTTCAAAGCATGCCCAATGATCATAGACGTCCAGGTAGTCACATCTTTTCTCTTGGTTCCATTGAAGAACTTCCTCGCTTTTTCGATATCCCCACATTTCACATACATGTCGATAAGAGCGTTTCTCAAACTCAAGTCCATAGCAAACCCGGATTTGCCCTGAACGTACGAATGAATCCGTTTTCCCATCTCCAATGCGCCGAGATCAGCACAAGCCGACAAAGCCACCGTCACGATCACCACGTCAAGTTCGATCTTTTCCGCTTCCATCCGCCGAAACAGCTCAATCGCTTCTCCGGGCTTCCCGTTCTCAACATAAGCTGCAATAATCGCCGTCCACATCACGGCATTCTTCTTGTCATGCGTTTCGTCGAACACTTGGCGAGCATCGGCGATATTTCCCGCCACAGAGTAACACTGCAGAAGAGATGTCAGAATCTGAATTACGGATTCGAACCCTAGTTTTATGACGAGGGTGTGGACCTGCTTGCCGGAAAAAGGAGATGGCTTCTGGGTGGAAGCTTTGATGGCAAACAACACGGAGAAGCTGTCAACGAAACTAGGATTCTGTCTGAATCGATGTCGGAAATGTAAGAGAGCTTTGATGGGTTTGTTGGATCTAAGAAAACATCTTAGGGTCTCATTGGATTTGGAATGATAATTTAGAAGAAAATGATCGGATTTGTGTACAGCTGAAAGAGATTTCAAAGGAGAGTGACGCAGAAGAAACCTCATACCACTGCGAATTTTAGAATTTACGGTGCACAAAAAACATATATGAGAAAGAGTTGTCTTTAGTGTTGAAAATTTATCAATAAATGAATATCGTAAATTCATTTTTCATCTTTATTTTTTAAAAATAAAAAATTAAAATTATAAATCAATCACTATACAAGCATTAGAATTATGTCGAATGTTACTATATTTTACTCTACAATTATTATTTATTATAAAACATTGGAATTATATTAGTTTATTATACAAATTTTTATAGCATTTATTATTGTAAACAACCAACCTTTTCATTTTAAAATATTAAATATTTATTTTTTTGTTTATTTAGAAAAAAGAATTTAAGAGAAGAGTGCAAGAGAAGCCGCCGAGGTCTACTTAACGTTGGCCTCCGACGACAAAAGCTCATGTCACAACAATGGCGTCGATTCTGATTGCGTCGGAGGAGAGATCGGAGATTGCATTCTTCGACCTCGAGACGGTGGTTCCCACCAGAACCGGCGAACCATTCGCGATTATCGAGTTCGGAGCGATCCTTGTTTGCCCTAAGAAGCTCGAGGAGCTCAACAGCTACTCCTCCCTGGTCCGACCCTCCGATCTCTCTCTC